TTGATGCTGACCTGCCAGTTTAGTGGCTGCAAAAATGTGTTGTAATGTAAAGCACAGACTCAAGTTCTTCATTCAGATTTCCCCTTTCCCTCCACTAGACCAGGACCAATCCCAGAAGTGTCTGAATGTACTTGTGAGTTGTACTTGGTTCTGCCTTTGTTGTATATTTCCATAGCCTGAAATATAAAACTTCCTTGGGAAGCTACAGCTCTTGATCTGTAGCATGCACATTTTCAGATGTCTTTCTCATCCAGACCCCAAAGGACCCCTACCCTATTACAATTTTTTACGTTTTCAGACTGTGTTTTCCAAAATGCAGTCATGCTGGCAATCTTTGAGACCACAAAGACCATTTCAAGACACATCTTTTTGGTCTACCTTTGTTCACATTCTTCTCTTCTCACAGCCCCTTCTGGTGCAGTGGATCGGGTCCCTCTAGCCTTATGCAGGCAGGAGAATGAGAGGACTCACCATGGTACCAGAAGGAAGGAAGAAGCCAGTAGCAGGTAACACTGAGCATCCAGGTAGAGGCATATGATTGTTACAAGTACTACAACCATGCAGGTGGATTTTTAAAGACATCCAGTGATTTTGTGAGGTTGAGTTGTGATTTCATTGAAAGGCTGACTATTGTGCAACAGATATTTAGAAATAAGTGAAGAAAGAAATGGTACTGGAAACCAACACTGAAAATCTTCAACTTAATATGAATCTGTTTAAATTATGAGAAAGCATTTTTCTCTCTTACTCCCAAATTGGCTCTTCCTGTGTTTATATTTCTGTGAATCTGTTTTGATTGAGTTAAGAAAAAAATATATGGGGCAGGTGTGCTGTGAAAATTAAAGACATGGTTCTGTATTGTACCCAAAGTGGCTTTGTTGAAGATCATTTTCACTTCATAGTGTGATGTTAAATGAGTTACCTCAATCCTGTTGAGAATTCAACCATACTGACACTTCAGGATTTGGCATTATAATGTTTCTATTAGAGGCAGGGTGGGGTGACAAGATGTTATCAGATTTATTTTGTGCTAGTTCTAGTCTAGAAAAAAAAAGTCTTACACAGACAAAACAGTAATTACCTCTATTCTCTCAGTTTTCTGTGAGAAGGGATGGTAGTTTTCTCAATAATTGCAAAAATATTCAAAGAAACCCACTCAAAATTCAAGACAGAAAAGAAATTATGTTTCTGAAATAAGAAAGTTTTCACATCAGAAAAAAAAAAGAACCAAATGGTATTTTAACAACTGTTTTGGCATAGATCTCAATGTAGTACCTGAAAAGTTTACGTGATCTCATTTACAGTTTTCCTTTGTTTCTTTGACTACAGAGTTAGAAGAAAATATTTCATACAATGCATTCTAACATCATTTTTTTAATTGTTAGCAAGCAGTGTTGTCTGGAAATACCATCATACATCCAAAGTACTTGTATACAATGTGTACAAAAGCACAGTAATGGACACTTCCAAAGCGTGCATACTGGGTTAGCAACACGCCTAGTAAAGCTCCAGGCAGATTAGCTAATTCCCGCACACCATGCTACAGGAATTTGAGAGGAGGCATATACAATTTAGGTTACTTACTCAAAACAGGCTTTGAATATTAGGCCTGGGAAATAAAGAACCAAAACTGTGCTGATTTCCTGACAAGGAGAAGTTATGGTCTACCTGGGAATACCTTCCCTGCACAACAACAAAGAACAGGCTGTAGCTTGCAGTTCTGCCAGAAGGCAGTCTCATTCTGTCCATACCACACATAGCAATTTAAGACACTGAGGGAAAAGTATAAATCAAATACAAACATAAAATCTACTATAAATTAGATTACTATTTTTCTGGTAGGTTACCTGTATCATCTGGTAATGTCCACATCAGACAAATGCCTTCAGGAAATAAAAACCACAATGGATTTAGAAGTCCTATGAAATGCTGTGTAGAGAGATTGCCAGACAAAATGAGAAGCAGGGAACCAGAAAAAAAAATGCAGCAATAAAAGGGAAACTTGATCACAGTCGATGATCACCATTGAGAATTGAGAAAGGAAGGCTTTAAGGTTTTGTGGTTAGTGGGTGTAAAATATCTGGGAGTAAAAAAAATTCAAGACTGATCAGAACAGAGGAATCTAAAACTCTGGCTGGCATCTAGGAAGAATTAACGGCATAAAATTAAAGAGGAGTTCTGTGAACATGTGGGCTCACACAAAATTAAGGCACGGAGAGATAGAAGTGGTAAAATGGAGAAAAAAGGAGGATGAGGCATTGTTAGGCAGTTATGGATGACAACTTCCTAAATTATTACAGATAGATTTACAAGATCACATCAATCTGCTCCTTCATGAAAAGTCTTCCAAGGAGCCACTGAGGCCACAGGGCCACTGCAGTCAGCTAGGGCGGGCAGTATGGAGCTGGTTCACACTGAACTTCATAAATTTTGTCATTTGAATGTTGCACACAGCTTTAACTACATTACATACTGTAGGTCTCACCAGATGGACCACGCTAGTTGACATTCAGACCTTCAATCTGTTTACTTTCTCTGTTGAGTGCTAACAATGGGGGATTTTTTTTCAGGTAATGAGCTAAAATCATGTACAGATTACATCAATGTACTTTCTATAGGCTTCAAAAATTGGGGTAGGAGGACAGCTAGCCTTGAAGGTACAGGAATTGGGATAGTAATTTTGAACTTCAGCTGGTTCCACAGAGTTACAAATAGAACTAAACTAACAGCAAGTGCATTAGTAAGAACAAAAGGAACTATAAGCTGCTGCACTGTATTAGCACTTCAGCTTTTGAAATTATAAGACTAGGAACTAATTCTGAAATCCAATCTAATTTTCTAGTACACTTTCTACTGTTCACCTTAGAGAAGTCACTGCAGAAGTACAGGCTACAGTGTTGTGACAGAGACAGATCTGTGCTGGAGCAGTTCCATCCAATTTGAAAGAAAAAGCTATTTAAAATTACATTTGGCTCATGAACTGGCCATAAAAAAGTACTTCCACAAGGTGCCATTGTCTGCTACTACTGCCCCTTCTTCTTAGAAGGAGGTTGTGAGCATCTCCTTTCTGGAGCTCAGACCCAGAACAGACCCTGCCCCAGCCAACCTCTTACCTGGCCTGGGAAATGGTTATTAGCTTGACAGCACACAGCTGTATAAGGGGGGAATCAGCTCCTACCCCATCAGTTCTTTCAGCAAGAGCTGGTGCAGCCCTAAGATAGATGAGAAACTTTTATATGGGTAGCCTTACATGAGTTTTTGCAGCAACCAGCTTCAGTCATTGTATCTGTTTGACTACCTGTGTTGACACATGAACTGATTTTTTAAAAGAAAAAAAAATGAAAAAAAAAAAGACTCAAAAAAATAATGAGGCATTTTAAAGCTGAACAGCTTGCTTGCTTGTGGTCTGAAGGGCATCTTCGCAAGCCTTGCATAAGGTATTCCCAGCAGAGGAGTGTGAATGAAAAGTGAGAGCAGTAAGCCCTCCTAGCAAATTTATTCTGGACAGGATGGTAATTGGTAACTACAGCTCACCCACCATTCCCTGCTGTTTTAATCCCACATCTGCACTGACCATGTACCTTTGAAAATGTCCTCCTGGGAATACTGACGAAGATCTGTGCGCTGTCCATGGCACTGGGATGACCCACAAAAAACATTTGAAAATCCTTCCTTTAGGCACCCCAGCTAGGATTTTCAGAAGTGCATTGACTATTTATGTACAAGGACCTTCAGGAAAATAAAATGTGTCATTTAAAGCTGAGATTTTCAACAGTACTTAGGCTTTGTTTAGACTGGTAAACAGCGCGGGCGAGAGGAGCAAATCTAGACAGCAAACAGCTGGTACTGAGAGCAACCAATGCCTGCTACCCGTGTTTCATGGCTTGGGGGTTATTTCAGACTAGAGTTCGTCTGGTCCCATGGGCTGGATGATCAAGGCTATAGGTAGCCTTGCCGCAGACCCTGTTTGAAAAACCCACTCAGAACTTTACTTCTTTGAATGTCCAGCCATCCCATTACACTTAGCATCCTTCTAAGCTGTGTACTGATAACAGCAAGATCAGTTAGTAGTAGCAAATACAAAGCATGTAGACACTCTAAACCAATGATGTCGCAGACTTAACAAATCAAAGAAATAAGGTTTCAGATGCTGAGTTCTAGAAAATCCGCATGTTTCACACAACATTTTTCGTTTGAGATGTTAATCACAAAAATAATGTAATTTTAGCAGATAAACTGACCTCAACAGAAAACAGAACCCCCAAAAAGTAAACTCTCATCTGTATGTCTGCCACAGTGAAAAAACAAGGTGGATTTAAATGAGGTAAAGATCTGGCACTCAATACTTCAATATTTTTTTATCTGAAACTAGAATATATGCATTGCAATGGCTCCTTAATTTGTTCAAAAAATGCTTACCAGTCTCAATGAGCAATGCTTGTACCACACAGCACAGCTAAAATCATGCAAAGTCAATTAGAGTACGACATAAGCCTGGATCAATGCTCAGTTAAAAATACATATTTTTCAGATCAGAAAATCTATACTTTTTAAAGCAATGTTAGATCAGCTACACAAATATTCATTATTTTCTTTTCTTATATGATAAACATATATTAGCATCTCCTTTAAAGTACAATATGAAGCCAGTCAGTTTTGTTTTCTCAATAAAGCATGCTCTTCACTTCTGTCTAAAAGTGGAGTCTCCTTCTCTGGAGATACTCAAAACCCATCTGGATGATGTCCTGTACAACCTGTTCTAGGAGAACCTGCCTTAGCAGGAGGGTTGGTCTAGATGATTTCCCAAGGTCCTTTCCAACCCTTGCCATTCAGTGATTCTGTGTAAAAGACTAGGTGTGAAGCAAGTTCAGATTGTCCAGACTTTAACAGATGCTCTGCACCGAGGACTCAGATGGTCTAAGCAAATAGCCAAAAGTAAGTTACAACCTGCAAAGAAAAAGTTCAAATTTCTTCCACAGTCAAAAATCACACCTATTAAATCATAATGACACCTCTTGTTTCAAGTTGTGCCCATTCAGCTGTGTCATGCTAGTCACTGTGTTCCTGGTATTACTTTTCAGGGAAGTCATTTGAATGGCAGAAGAGTTGCGCAAGTAGCTGGCAGATCTCACTTGCTGAGCTTTCCTCCTGCAGCGAAGTTGGTTGTTGAAATGTCTTCTAAAACTCTCACTGAGAAAATACAGTGCAAATGGGTTGACACAAGAGTTGCAGAAGCTCAGCACTCGGGCCACTAAGGTGACAATCATATGTCCTGTTGATGGATCAATCTCATTATAATTAAAAGATCGGTACATGTACAGCACATGGTTAGGAAACCAGCAGATAGCAAAGAAGCCGACAAACACTAGAACAATTTTTGCCAGACGTTTCCGAGTTTCCATCTAAAAAGATGAAGAGAACACAAATGAACAGCAATGGATAGAACGGCTCCACATAACAGACTTAATTAAAACATGTAGCATTTTGCTTTAGATTAGCTTTAACAGCTATCATAAATAAGGCCAGTAAAAATGCTTCCTTTTTCTCTCTCATTTGCTGTCCTTGCCCACTTCCAGTTTACTTTCAGTGACAGACCCTAGCTGTTTGCAGTTACAGAAGGTTGCTCTTCCTATATGATATATGCAGCAAGAGTGATGCCTGACCTAAGTAAACATTGGCTTTTAGCCTGAAAGTACAGACCAGAGTATGCCATGAAATATAACCTTTTCCAATGAGATCTCAGTGCTTGGCTTGAAACCTAGCTTTAGTTAGAAGGCTATTTAGAAATGATTGGCTTTGAAAAGCAGAGCCCTTGTGAGTGAAATGTAGAGACATTGCTAGGGTGTCAGCTATACAAATGTACTTACATCCCCTTATTCTGCCTGAAATGCCTCAGCTTACACCTCTCTCCTAGGCATACCACCAAAACTGCATTGCACAGCCTGAAGCATCTTAATTCCAGGGTAAGTTGAAAGGTTCAGTTAATATTTGGTAATGGCATGGAAGAAATGCACCTTAACTGCAGTGCTAAAGTATAATTGGATTACAATGTAGATACTGAGAGTGGCTGAAAAGTTGACATGAAATGAGCCTACACAGTGGTTCCAAACTGAGAGAGGGAGGCAAACTGGCCAGGTAGAAGGCACCAAAGGGACACAGAAATTTTCCACATATTCCTCCTAGAAGGTTTATTATGTATGTCAGGTGCCAAAGTTTTGCAGAGGCAGGAAAGTTTTCTGGCTTTGATCAATTTTTACCTGAAAAATACAAGTGAATTTATTCTAATGGGGTTTCAAAATCCATTAAATAAATCTGTAAGTAGTTTTCTTGGCTCCATCTAAACCAAAACCAGTGGGGAATTCACAAAAGATGGGAAAAATCTACCATTCAAATTTGGAAGGATTTGCACTTGGACAGATTGCAAAGGCAGACTAAAAGGTACAGAGATATAGGGTGAATATTACACTTCTGTGCTATGGTCTAAAGAAATGTGAGTTGATAGCAATAGTCTGAATTTACTTCTTCTTGCTGGGAGATATGTAAGTACACTGGAATTTTCTATTCTTCTGAGCATCATAGATTAACAAAAAGAAAAAAAAAACCTAAGTAGAATGAAAAAATATGTTCTTACTTTGAAAATACATGTGGGTTCAGAAATGTGATATAAATTAAATATTGTTTCCATCCTGAGGGTTCAGCCAAGAGGCTCTCTATATTTCACAGGAAAAGAAAATAATACATGAAGTGCTAATATGTATGCATTTTTGACAAGAAACAGGCTAGAGTAGAAATGAAATGCTGAGCAAAAAGGACATGAGGGAATGTGGTCTTTCTTTTTAAAAGAATATTTACATGTTACATACGCAAAGAGATTTCAGCGGGTGTAAAGGTATTTTCTAAAATATTGGCAGAGAAGACTCTTCCAAATTGTTTTAATGGGCATAAGAATTCTTCTCTATCAATACTAACGCTTTTGTAAAGTGGTTGAGGCACTTTGACTGCAAAAGCTGTTTGTATATATAATATTCCTGCTAATGTACAGTCTGCTGCTATCTTATTGCTTCCTGTGCCTTACAGGGAAGCTGGCTTTGGCCAGCATTTTACAACGCTTTGTCTCAAAGGTGTTACAGAACTTATACCAAAAGTTTTATAGCAGCTATAATAGAAAGGGTATTAGAAAAGAGTGAGTTCAGGATTGTATCCAAGAAAGATCTACTGAGAAAGCCAAAAAAGGATCAGTTCATGCTCTATGTTCGTATTTTCAGCACTCCTTGGTCTGAGAATCTTAGATCCCCCAAGAAAAATTTTCCATGCCTATGTCAGTTTTTTCATTTCCAAGCGCAAATACAACAGGGAGAATTCTCAAAATGTTCCTGTAAGATTTCTTCCCCAAATGGCTGTTTATAGCGATAGGTGAAGACACTAGCATTAACTACAAAAACATTGTTCATCAGTAAGAACACAAGCTATTGTTATATGAACAACACATACAGACACATATACCAATCCTACTTCTTGTTAGGAATATGCACTGATGGCATCAAATTTGTATTTTTCCTTGCTCATACTCTTTTACTTACTAGGCTTAATACTAAGTAATTGTGAAAACAAGGAGATTTTTCAGATAATCCTCATCTTAGTTCATGCATGTGGAAACTACTGAACTAATCCTCTGTGAAATCCAACAATTTGGGTATTATAATCCCTGTACTTTCATTTATAAGTGTATACATCACACAAATCTTTCATCAGGATGTAAGAAGCAAATTGCTTACCTGTCTTTTGGAATGCTCACTGTATTCTCCAGGGATGTTGTGAGCACTTTTTATTAAACTCTTTGCAATATGATAGTAGTAGACACTAATAATGGCAAGAGGGATAAGGAAATACACAAGGAAAATCAGCACAGAATGGATCTTCGGGTGCATATCATCCGTCATGGGGTATGGTATGCACGCTGTGAAAGTGTCGTTGTTAGTGTCATTGACGTGGGCCAGTTCGGAGAACACCACTTCAGGAACTGCTAGGAGCATGGAGATTACCCAGATGGCAATGGCTTTAACACAGGTCCATAGCACTGCACTGGAGGTCTGGATGTCCATGGGATTTACAATTGCTTTGTACCTGAAAATGATCAAAATGCAGATGCAAATTACAAGTTATCTTTTCAAATTCAACATGCGATTCATAAGGCCACTTCATACCTTTGATTAAAATAATGTCATATTTTGTTCTCATTTGAAATGTCAACGGGTTTGTAATGTTTCTTAAATTTGCTTCTCTAAATCTCTGGCTTCGTTGCATATATACCCACCAGAGGTTGCAAAAGGAGCCCTGGATGCAACCTGTGGCTGTAGGTGTCCATTCTGTGCCAGCCTGGTGAAAGCGCAGAAGCAGCCATGACTCCACTCCTTCTTTCCTCAAATCCTTCCAGCAAATCCACGAATGCGCATCCTACCTCCATACTTCCACCTCACTCTCATACTGGCACAGGCACACTAGAGTTTGTTTCCTTCCTCAGCTCCGGCAGCGCAGGAGCCCCTCCTGCCCACCACCACAGCTTGGCTTTCCCACCAGCCCCCTGGGCATGCAGGACAATAATCCACATTAATCTCCTCTTGCCAGACCAGCAACAACCGCTGCTGTGGTGGCTCTTGCCTTTCCCCCTCCCCAGCACACAAATATACTGTCCTGACTTTAATGCCTGGAATTGAAGCATCTTCATAAAGTCAGGCAGGAATGACTCCCAGCAGCCTGTGCAGAAGTATTAAACTCTTAAAGGAAGTAAACCAATTGGAGGCTCTTGCTCTACACGGTGTTTGGGGAAGCTGTCTCACAATATATGATTACCTGTAAACCTTTGCAGAACTTATAATTTCATAACTGTTACAACGAAGACAGGAAGTATTGCGGAGAATGGAAATATCACACTACAGCAAAGTAAAATAAATGAATCCAAGTAGACTCTGGTAAGGAATTCTTTCATTAAAAAAAAAAAAATGTGGCAGGAGGTGATACAAAATGAAACTTGCCACATGAAAAGCTTGGGTTTAGAAGGCCAAATATATATACTTTGAGAAAAATATTTCAAGGATACCTTAATGTTTTGCTTAGATCTTTAATTTATTTTGAAAACATTGACTTTCAAAATGTCAGTAAATTATGTTTTAATGTTTTTATTAAAAACTGCACATTGAATAAAGCATTTCAGTTTGTCTAAGCTGTAGTAATTTGGAAGGTTGCTTTATCTTTTTTTTTCGCTTCTTCAATTTTCTATTTCTAGTTTTGATTTGATTTGGGATGGGTGAGGGTTTTTTTGAAATTGCATAAGTTTTGAGAAGTGGAAAAATGATTTTTCTTTAAGATCTAAAGAAAAGTTTAACAGGTAGAAGGGAGTCAGGAGAGATTCATACTCCAGGTACATAACTTTATTCATGTTAAGGTCTTTCTAGTCAGTGGAGGTGTACTTTCAAAGGGTGATTGAGGTTTTAGGTGCATTAAATCACCCTCTGAGATGTTTATTTTTCTCTGTTAGCTATGCAATGAGCTTAGGGTGAGAAGAACTGTAACTTAGATATCTCTCCTTGGTGATAAAACCCCTTATCCGTGCATGCAGATACATATACATGCATATACAAATATAAATATGTATGGGTATGAACGGGTGTCTAAATACATACCCAGGGTTAGGTTATGGCTAAATATAATATAGTTGCTGAAGGAATGCTGAGAAATGGAGTTGTGATCCCAAATACCTTTTATGGCTGGACACTGATTTATTGCAGATCCTGACAGGTACGTCATAGCCCCTCAAAACCTTGAGCAGGTGTTTGAGGAACTGCGGATAAAAGCTATATCCCCATGCAGCAAGTTGTGAGTTTGCTGGAAACCAATGCTGGAAATGGCTATGCCATGAAAATGTCTGGAGCAGGGCACTCTCTTGGTACCCTAGCAAATTTTTTCTTCAGAGAACATTTGAGTCAAAATGTGCCCTAGAGTCCTCTTTCTCAGGACTGTGGTAAATTGCCTTATCACTAAATAATTAAAAATAATGGCTATTTATGTTCATATCCTCTCTCAATTCAGAGAGATGATTTTTACTGTGTCTTCACCCTTATTACAGAGTAGAAAATTAAAATCAGTAAACTGTCTGTTAATTTGTGTTTACCATTTCTTGTAACACACAGTGAGAAACTCCCTGGACACCAAGGTGTAAACAAATCCTTTATACTGCCATGGGAAGGATAGAAGCTTCTGAACAAAGCATGAATCCTCCCCAGCACAAAGTGTAACCTTATTATTCAATAATTTGCTTCCTATTGCTGTCTGCCTTGATTTCATTACATGAAGACAGACCTTCTATTTCATTTCGTTCAACTGAGGTGACGTCAAGTCCTCACATCTGCTCATTTCTTTTAAACTTTACATTGCTGGG